ATTATTATTATTATTATTATTATTATTATTATTATTATTATTATTATTATTAATAATATTATTTCATCAGTGCACCAGTATATATTATTTTTAATCTTTTCATTTAATCCCTTGTTACTTTGAAGCATTAATATTGCTTAGAATTATTTTAAATTTTTTTACAATTATTTTAATGCATACATTTTTTTAAATTTAAATAATTATGTAAAAAATATTTAAGGATTATTTTTGATGAGTTTTTATATTTATATATTTGCATAATTTATGTATTCCATTAATAAGTTTTTTTGAATAATTATTTTATTTTTAATTTGAGCCACATTTTGATTTATTGTTTAATTTATAGACAATCTTACATATATTAAAGATATTTAGATAATAACGAAACATTTCTCTATTCTCCTCTTTATCTTGACTACCATAATAACTGACTTGTTGTACGGATATACTATAATCTCAGCATAAGCATCAGCTCCACTCAACACGCAAAGCTCGACTGACGTTGACACTGCAACAGTTATTCGAGCACGTGTGCTTGCATAATCAAGAGGTGCGTACAAAAAAAATGACAAGAATTAAAAAAATGAAAGAAAAATGCTAAAATTTAGCTAACAATCCAAATGCCGTGTAACGAACTATAAAAAAAAGACACACAACACATGCATAGGGACGAGGCATGGCAATGGCTTAGTCAAGGGCGCGGGGGCGGCGCTGTGGGCGAGATAAGGGAAAGCCAAGCAAATCGATGATAAGAGTAAACAAAACGCATGTGGAAGCCCTACGCAAAGCCAATTAATCTTTGCTTTGATGCAGACACACACGCACAGGTGGAAAGATAGCAGTTGCAACAAAATGTTGCATGATTGTGCCCCAATCTGTCCATGTCCCCCCATTCTCTTCCACAGCCAATGCCAATCATAATCCTTTCCATTTCCATTTCCCTGCTATTCGTTCAGCTGCAGTCGGCTGTGTAATGTGCTTATGCGACCAGTGGAATGCAGCTTATAGCTATTGCTGCTTTTGTTTTGTTGAGGGGGCGTGGCAGTCTATTGAGTGGCATATTACGTATACGCAATCATGGACTATTGTCAATGCTTTGACGGACCTCACAGGACCCGCAGCTTAGTGCATTGATAGGCATACCATCATCTAATATATCTTTCAGGTAGTAAATTCCTAGGAAATAAGTTGAGGCAGCTGCAAGGAAGGTGATTTTAATGCTGAGTGTTTTTTTAAAGGCATAAGAATTCATTTGGTTTAATAAATGGAGGTACGCCTTCAACATTTGTTGAATGGGTATTATGCAGTCGGTCAGGCTCATCTGCCACATTCTCACTGCTCTCGTGTTCATTTTACAGTAATCTCTAATTATGATAATTGCCCCAAGAGTTCTCGAATTGTTTAAATCAGTCTTTATTGTGCACCTGGCTTACTCAATTGTCTCTCTCTCTCTCTCTCTGTCTCTCTCACTTCCAACAATATATATTTAGCCAAGTCTCATTATTGAAATGGGTCCTCCATGGGTCTATTTACTTGACAACATTTTACAATTAAGTGCAAAATTTGTAGCGTGACAAGGCAGCAACTGTACTGAAAGCCACGCCCCCAAAAAAAAAAAAAACTTTAGCTGCGTCTATTTGTTTGTTTTGTCAGCGTAGACAAGAGGAGCTAGAGAGAGGAAGGGAGTGCGAGAGAGATAGAGAGAGTCATGTGTGTGCGACATGTCAGGCATTAAGTGAAATTTAAACCTGAACGCCTTTTGGCATGTGTGTGTGTGAATGTATGTGTGTATTCCTTATTGTTGCCTTAGTGAAATTTAATTAATGACAAACAACTTTTCATTGTTTTTTATTCTTCTCTCTTTTGCGTTTTTGTTGTTGTTGTTTGTCTTTGGCTTTGCACGCGCCGGAAATGTATTCACATCCGTTTGAACAAAAAATTTTCCATTGTTTCAATAGGCGGAGGCCCGGCCCGGCGCTGTGTATGTGTGTGTGTGTCGTATGGCATAATTACAGACACATAAAAGGCGCCTTGAAGCCATACAATATGGCCATGCCGTGGCTCAATAAAGGACTCTCTCTTGCTGCCTATGTCCTTGGCAGGCCGTCAGCTGTTAACAGCGCTGGCAAAGGGTCGGCAGCGATTAGGGCACATAAAACTTAGGCCCAGACATGGCCCAGCATTAGAGCCCAACGGGCTGGCCATAATTGACAGCTGCGCCAACAATTCACTTGACCTCGCACACAGTGACTACCAAAACCCAATACACACCCACCCACGCACACAACTGCTGCTGCATATTAAGCATTTAGCTGCAGTCACACCCAACCTATACACACACACACACACACACATGCACAGAGAGACGAGCACGCACACAACTGCAATTGACCGTGAAATTGTTGGCAACTGCAAGTTGGCCATGATTGAAGTGGCCATCGCTGGCTTTCAACTTTGCGCCATTTACCTGCTTTATTTATGCTCGCTCGGGAATGCTCGACAGCAGTTTATTGGCTGTGCGAAATGTTTGTCTGTGTGTTGCTGGCTGAAAGTTGAAGACTTGAAATTTGTTTTCTTGTTTTGTTTGATAAAGTCTCAAGTTTTGATATCCACAATGGAAGTGTGGTCTACGAAGACTTGGAATTACCTCTCGAGTGCATGCTGAAAGCTAAATAAAAGCAGAGAGAGTTGGAATGAATTCTAGAAGAATGCATTATCTATCTATCTCCACAACTATCTATCTCTAAAACTGCCCTGAAAGCTAAGTGTTTATTCCTGAATTTACTAGAAAGAATGCTAAAGCTTTATAAATAAGAGATCTACTAGATTAGAGGAGATAGCTTATAAACTCTATAGAATGTACAGATTGTATAGACTGTATAGCCTTTATAGACTCTATAGACAGTATAGACTCATAGACCATAAAGAAAATACATATATATTCTATATCCAATCATGCCAAACTTCAAATTATTGTTTAATTTTCTACTTTAAAAATTATTCTTACAATGATATATAGGAAATATTCCCATATACCCATGACAATACCAATATATGTATAATTTCAATATAACTCTATAGAGTATCATATCATCAGTTACGCTAGACTAAAATGCCCTACGTTTTTTTCGTATGCTGCCCGTACAGTCGCCCATAAAACACACACACACTCTCCAGTTAAGCTTTTAAGGCGAGCAAAAGTAAAACAGTTTATGGCATTTAAAAATAATTTATGATATTCTGCTTGAAACTTGTGAAAACTTTGCCAAAAGTGTAAACAAAACAATGGCAGCTAAAGGTAGCTGAAAATACCCTAAAGAATATAATAATAAACCTTTTTTTGGTTAAGGGTTCGAAGTGCAAATTTTAGTCGATTTTTATATATAGTCAAAGAGATTAAAAAGTAAATGACTATGGATTTACTACGATCAATGTCAATGTATCATAAATTACATCTAATAATATCCTATATTAAGGAAAGACTACACTTAAAAAAATTTGCCAAAGTATTATTTTATTTTATGAAAATTTAAAATTGAAATAAAATAAGGTTGATATTTTTCTGTAAATTGTGGGCAGCTAAAAGATATTCCTGTTGATTAAAAAAAAAAAAAAAAAAGGAATATAGTTAAAGTTTTTGCAATTAATATATAAAGAACTTCAACTTAAGCTGTTGAGAAGCGCATAGAAAGGCAATTTATAATGCAAATTTATTATATATTTCAGCAAAGTAACTTTGATTATTTATAATTTTCAACTCTACTGCATTTCATATAAATTCCAAGTGCTTTCAAACCTCTTCCCTCAATGGGTATCTCAAAGCGCAGTTGGAGCAGCTCAGTTCTGGCAGAAAGCCCCAACTGCTGTGTGGGCATTCAAATGCATTGCATGCAAATGCCACAAATAGTAACAAGTTGTTTTTAGTTGTTGTAAACTTTGTTTTTCCATGAATTTGCCATTTTACCCCCACCAACCCTCTCCCTCTCTCTCTCTCTCTCTGTGTGTCACTTCTATGGAAAAATTCCCCCATTGCATTCAATTATTCACACTTGGCCGCAAATCAAACAGATTTGCAAATTATGCAAGCCGCCTGCGGTTAAAGCGAACACTGTGGGGGGCGTGGCAAATTTTGTGGCTAGGCCAATAATTATGTAGTAACGAAATAGATGGTAGATAGAGGGGGGAGAGAGTGTGGAGAATAGAGAAATTTAAGCATTTTGCAGAGTCAACTTGGCCTTTGGCAGAAATTCAATCCTAGGCCGTCAGATTGAGGCTTCGAGCCAAATTTCACAGGTCTGTTCGCTGTTAAATGAATCAGAATATTGGCCAAGACATTGCTGTGGTTTGGCCATGTTGTTGCACATTGCACGTTGCATGCCCCCGCTGCATGTGGGCCATTGCCACAAATTTCAATATGCACATTCCGATGAGTTAGCTCACGGGCTGTGCATCCAGCTCGAGCGTGCCAAAAGCATTTTAGCATTTAATTAACAAATAACAAACATGACTTCGAGTCTGGCCCTAAAACGTATTTGCGGACAGCTGATAGGCGTGGCTAATCGTATTGAAGTCGGGCAAATAGAATGAGAAAAGACTCAATGATCCATGTAGAAGCACTTCAGGCAATTTCCAAATAGCCAACGCCTTGGCAGGGGAGAAGCAAACAAAGAGGTTACGTGGAAAAATTAAATAACTGCTGAGTGTGGGCAGTCGTAGCAGCGAAGCACCACAAAAAGTTAATCACAAATTTAAGTAATGTCAGGGAAAGCAAAGGGAGAAGCAACGGGAGAAGCTAAACATAAAGTAAAGGAGGAGTAGAGCCTGAAAGGGCTACAAGTAAAAGGAGAAGTTCAAGCGAAAAAGGAATTTAAAACTAAAGAGGAAGAGAGACAGAGAGAGAGAGAGGAAGGAGGAGAAAGAGAGAGAGAGAGAGAGGTAGAAAGAGAAGCTTAAGTATAGAGAGGCTATGCAAAAGGAAAATTAAAGGCTGTAAGAGAATAGAAATACTTGTAAATGGAGCGACTAAAGGAAATTGCTAATTATAAAAGGAAAATTGAGGCGCAGCAAATAAATAAAAAGAAATGGATTTTATATGAAATGGATTTTATATGATAAATGAAACGAGAAGAAAATCAAGCAATTAGGAATTAAAGGTTAAAATGAGAATTGAAATGAAGAGAAGAGAGATGTGAAAGGAAAACTTAAGCGAGAAGCGGATAGAGAAGGAAAGAATGTTTATAGAAAAATGAGAGAGAGAGAGAAAGTAAATGAGACAGAGAGAGAGAGAGAGAGAGAGAGAGAGAGAGAGAGAGAATCAAGAGGAAATGAGGAATAGAGAGACATTAAAAATTAAAGTCATAAGAAAAGAGAGGGAGAGAAGCGAATGTAGACATAGAGAGCAAAAGAGAGAGAGAGAGGGAGAGAAAGAGATATATTCATGTATGGAGTCAGAGAGATAAATAGAGAAAGATATAGAGAGAGAGGGAGAGAGAGAGAGAGAGGCACAGAATCATAGCCAATAATACGCATCAATTAAATTAAGTAAACAGGAAAACAAAACGAGAAGTTTCGCAGCTTTAAAGACACAAAAGCGCGAAGCAAAACAAAAAGTCAACCCAATAAAAAAACCCAAATTTGTGCCATAATTTGCTTTTCGCTTCTTAAAGCATAAATTCAACAAAAAGCACGCTTTAACAGAGAACTTCAACACGTTCTTCAACTCATCGTTCGCTTCTTGTATAAATTTGATTTGCTGCATGTTGAAAAAGTTTTGATTTATTATTGTGTCTACAATTTATCTTATCAAAATATCATTTAAATTTAAATAACAACAAATCTGAGAGCACTTATTCGCCTTTTCTCTCTTTTCTTTCTTTTTGTTGCTGTTGCTGTTGTTGTTGTTGTAAATTGTTGTTTGCTTTGAACTTGTTGTATTCATGGAAATTTATCTACGGCCTAAACACAGCACCCACACACCCATAGAGTCAGCATGATAAATGCGAGTTTTCTTTAGGTTTGTTTGTCTGCTTTGAAATGCCTAAAAATGTGTTTGCGGTTGCTTTTGAGAGCTGAACTGAGAGAGAGAGAGAGAGAGAGAGAAAAAAACACATACATTTGCCAGTCACGATGTTTTCCTTTTGCGTGCCCGAGTTGGGTATTATAATTCCATGATGGTTAGTGTAACGCCCCCAAGGATGATTGGCTGCATGTTTCTCTCTCTCTCTCTCTCTCTCTCTCTCTCTTGCTCCTGCTTTTGCTATGGTTTTGGAATATGTTTAAAGAAAATTCCATTTCGATTATGAGTCGGGTAACGCCACTCAACTACTTGTTGAGCTTGAAGGCTTTATGTAAAGGCTTTGAAATTCCCGAGAGTGTTAATGATGTTGCAGGAAATGTTTTTATGAGAGATATATTCTGATAGCTGTGATAGATAGATGAAATAGAATTTGAATTTACTGTTAAGCACTTACTCACTCTTTCTCTCTTTCTCTGTCTCTCTGATTAAGGACTGAATTTTAAGATAAACTCAATAGCAACATCTAACATAAGAACAATATATGTTCCGCCTAATATTCTCTTTGCATTCTTTTCAAATGGTTGAGCTTATCGCCAATTCCTGCAAGTATTTTCCTAGAGCATTCAATATTCGCCTAGTCAACAAGAATTTTTCTCATTATTTTTGGTTTTCGGATTATGTGGTCTTCTTCGTTTTGCTTACTTATGTTGGTGTTGCCGCAAACAGTGGAGAAATGTGAATACCTTTATACATCTACATACACACACACACATACATATACATATATAGTAGTCTGTGGCTGACTTACCTTGCCATGTTGACGATACGCAGCTGCTCACTTTTCCGTGCCCTTCAAGCAAACAAAAAAAACTCAAAATCAGAAGACGAAGCAAATTGTTAGCGAGTTCGAGTTGGAGGCGAGTCTTAATTTTTGGCCTTCGCAGGACTTGCTGCTGTGCGCGTCCTTGAATCAGGCTCGAAATGTCATTGAGTATCTGGCCGTCGTCGAGGGGTGTCTTGGCATGTTTACAATGCTCAGGTCTTGGCCGCAAACTAAATCAACATTCTTTGGCAGCGGGCAGAGGGGCAGCACCCAAACACACGCACAGAGCCTGAGATAATGCTGATGATGCTCTGATGATGATTACCGCAATGCTATCAGAGGCACTCACTCCGGCCCGGCCTGGCGCTGGCACAGCATCGTTTATCTCTGTCGCTCTGGTCTGGTCGACTGCCACTATCTGATTCGAAGACTTTTAATCCTGATTGTGAACGGGAATGTGCATGTGAATGTGGATGGGCCGTGTGCTACCTTGTTGCGTGATTGAGTTCGGATTTATGCCTTAAGTGTTGCTTGGGGATTTGCCCTCAAGCAGCAGCCGTCCGTTGCCTGATACGGCCTATGCGGCGTATGCTCAATATATATATATATATATATATACATATATGTGTACTCATCTACTGATGTGTAGGTGTAACTGTGTGCATCGAGAGCTATTTGTTTTCCTTTTGCCTTTTTGCAAGCGTTTTGATTGGAGATTTGAGATTTGAGTCCAAATGATTCGAACGTTTTGCTCTGCAAAAAGAAGAGCAAAGAAACAAAATAACAATATAGACAGGAAACTTTATTTTATTTGTTGCTGCTGTGCGTGGGTGTATGTGTGTGTGTGTGTGTGCGTGTGTGTGCGTGGGAATGTTTTTCTGCTTTATTTGATTTGCTGCTTTACATTTACATTTACATTTGCATTTACATAAGCATCAACATCATTAATATTGCAAAGGCATATCAATATATAAGCACTCTGCTGCCGATGAATGTTGTGCATTAGTGCTAGTGTGTGTGTGTGAGAATGTCTGCAGCCCTGCAGGAAACAAATTGTATTCAAAGGCAACGAGCTTCGAGCATAAAATGCCGGAGTTTTCTGCTGTTTGTCGGGCTGAAAGGCAGCAAGTGAGCTGGGCCAAGAGCTAAATAAATAAATAAAAGCAACTATTTTAAAAAAAGAAAAACCTATGGGTAATAAAAATAAAATTTACTAAATTTATATAATCTTAAAAAATAAAATACAAAAAAAATAAAGCAAATCAAAGAACCTAAAACATACTAAAACATAATAAAAATGAACTTAAAATAAATAATATAAAATATTATTATTATTATTATTATTATTATTATTATTATTATTATTATTATTATTA